GAACAGCAGAGATAATAATAAATAATTGATAATAATAATAGTAATAAATTATACCAGGATTATAAAAACCTGATTTTTTTTCACACTATTAAAACTGTTAGGATATCTTTTATTTTGTCACTTCCCCAACTGTGCTGCCTGACCTTCCAGTCATTTGGTTGGGCTTCTTTTCTTCACCCTCCCCCCCCCACCCCAGCCCTTTCTTAATCTCATTTTGAAATCCAAAAGCCTACAGCAAGTCTAACGTGATTTCTGGTATGTGCCACTTGGAAGAAATTGAACTGTATGATGATTTATTGTTTGGGAGCAGCTGCTCTTTAAACTTCCAAGGAGAGGGAAATCAGCTTTAGAAATAAACTAAATTAATAACGGTTGTTTTTATGTCTGCAATTTTTCATCACAATAACTGGCCCCACAAAAGGTATCATATGATTATAGCCAAAAATCAAATGCAGTTGAGCTAGTTGCATCGGTGCAGAGTTCTGCCATGGATGCAATAGCAGATGAACCCATGTTTATTTCTAACCTGGGTTTCTAATTTCTGATTTGTATTATTGGAGTCCTAATTTATATGAAATAGAGTGAAGCCTGGGCTATTCTGAGAGCTGCAGAATTCATCCAGTGTTAAGACTGTTTGGCTCAAACCAATTTGACTTTATTTAGCATAGTATAGCAAGGGCTTCTTGCCATTCAGAGGCTGTCAGGTTCTATCAGGTCCCACCACTTTTAAAGGCACCAGCAGAGTCATTTTTGGTGCAATTTAATGTACCTTTCCTAGAGCTCTGTATTTAAAACTCTCAAAGTTCCTCACTGAATTACAAGCAGAAAACAGAAGTGGGAACAGTAAGCACAAACACCTTCTCAGGTTTTTTGAGGATGATGCTGCTTTATTTCAGCAGATTGGCTCCTTCTTCTGGGCAGACCCTGGTTTCTGCACGAGGTTACGGCCGTGCTGATCTTGAGAGCCAGGCAGGGATAAAAGCAAATGGATTAGATCAGACAGAGTCACACATCACACGAGGATTTACTCTATGTGATGACTAGAAAAAAAATCTGAGAGACAGTGTGTGTTCAGATACCAGGGAAAATTTGTAGGGCTAACAATTAGGGGAAAAAATACTTAAGGAAATTAAAAAAAAAACCCACAAAACTTAAGGAAAAAATAGAGATGTCATTTTACCACAGGGCACACGTGCACTGCAACCCAGTAGGCAGCTGGTTTCTTGGGTACATTGGACAGTCTGTGCTGACTGATCTGTGCCTGTGGCAGCCAGTTGTAAGTTTATTTGTGTCCCTTAATGCTACACCCAGCAGAGACGGCTGTGAAATGAGACTAAGCTCAAGTCCCACCTTGTGACAAGAGTTTCCCTGAGGCATCTGCTTCAAGAATATACTTTACAAAATGGGATTTAAATGCCTAAGTGACTTAGTTGTTTTGGTTTGGTTTTTTTTCCACCCAAGATCTTTATCACATATGTGATTTTTCTCAGTGGAAAGCAATAGAGATCCTAATGGCAACGTTCATGTTGTGTGTAGTGAGCCAGGCTCTTAAAATCACCTGTGCTGACAGCATAAGGTGCTGCTGTTTTTATTGCAGGTACAAAGTATGTCCAAGCAAATGGTTGCAATTGCCATTTTTCGTGTCTGAGTGCATGTAGCACATGTTTTACAGTCGTCTCTTGCAGAACTAGACCAATTAAAAGCAAAATATTGGAACAGCAGATCCCCTTTAATGTATATTGTCTATGCTTTATCATGGTACTGCCTTTTGCTGTCATTGATCTTTACAGTTTGTGAGTATGGTATGTCGTTAAGTACAAATATCTACAAAGAAGCATTTTTGGTGATAGTAACACCAATATTAATAAAAGCTCAGTAAACACCCAGCACCATTTTCTGGTGGTTCATCAGCTGTGGCACAGAACTGCCTGCTCGCTATCTGCTAGCAGTGAGCCAATTTAATTACACCAGTGATATACCTGGCCCTGAATTTTCTCCTAACCAAAGCTTATCTTTCTTTTTTTCAGGGACCACTTGGTCTTCAGGGCCCAATAGGAGCCCCTGGTGTCAGAGGTTTCCAGGTCAGTATGCTCACAAGGGTCATTTAATGTGCATCATGTTTTGGCAACTGCTTTTCATAGAATCATCAAATGGTCTGGGTTGGAAGGGACCTTAAAGCTCATCCAGTTCCAACCCCCCCTGCTATCAGCAGGGACACCTTCCACTAGACCAGGATGCTCAAAGCCTCATCCAACCTGGTTTTCTGCAAACCTTTGGCAAGACAAGCGCGTGATGGCAAGTGGTGATAGGAAGACATGGCTTTCTGCTTGCCAGAACCAGACTGACACCTTTATTACCACAGTGCAGTAGAAGCAAGGCTGGAGAAGCTGCCTGCTGGAACAATTTCTATTTAGTATTTACTTGCAAAAGAAGAGTTTGAGTTTGACCTAATGTAAAGTCACCTTAATTTCTCCTCGATCAGGGCACTCCCAGCCTGTGTGTCTTCAGTGAACAACTCCCTTCTGCTGCTCTCCAGACTCTCATATTTTTTCCTCCCCTCTCCAAGGGACTGTTCACAATCACTCTCCCAGTGAAACTGGCTGAAAACCAGTGTATGATGCTACCTTTGGGGAGTGACCTCTTTGAACATGTTATGGAGACTGGTGAACTTTGGGGATGTCAGGATATGCAGCATTTCCCAACACTGTAAGCTGTAACTTGGTTTTTTTTTAATGTTCTCCTAACAGGGTCCCAAAGGTGCCAGTGGGGAGCCTGGCCTTCCTGGTCCAACTGGAATTCGTGGAGAGTTAGGTGACAGGGTAAGGAGAAGACATTTGTAACTAATCCCTATTTGGGAGATATGAAATCAGGGTGTAACAGGGCTCACAAACACGGTGGAGCTGATGTCACCCCAGCAAACACCATCAGCCTCGGTAGAAGGTGGGTGTGTTGGGTGTCCCAGTCCATCCTGCCCAACACGGACCCTACAGCAGGTAGCAGGATTTGTGCATCCTCTTCCTGTCCTCGTTTCTGTTCCAGTTCAGGAACTCCCACTATTTTTTGACAGGATGGATTGTTTAGAAGACTTTGGGGTCCTATCCTAGCCAGAAGAGATGATTATTTGGGGTTTTTTCCCTGCTCTGTGTGCTGGTTTCACCAAAGCCTTGTTCCTCACAAGCACAGGAGAGCTGATTCATTATTTGTTACTCAGATGCTTCATTAGGTTTTCTGTTGGGGTTTTTTTGTTTTGTTTTTTTTTAATTACAGTTTGCTCAGTGATTTTCTTTCTGAACAGCAACACACCTGGGTCCCACACCTCCAAATAATTGTGACTTTTTATTTAAATGAATTTATTCTCATTTAAAAGAAGCCAGCAGAGCAAAGTGAGTGACATTTGCTCCGGGCTTGCAGCAGAACAGTAGCTGTGTGTTTGCTGGCTGCCTCAACTCCAGCTTTAAGGTGAAATTTCTGTGTCAGCAATGGCAGCAGCACCACGGAGGTTTCACAATGGTCCTTCTGTGCTGGCTCCAGGCAGGTTTAAAAAAAAAAAACAACCCCTTGGAGGGACTGTGAGCCTGGAATTGTAGAACAGGAGGGTTATTGTGGGTCCTGACTGCATTCAGGGCTTTGCTGTGGTGAAAAATGTATGTTCAGAGGGGAAGAGGCCCCTGTGTAGGGCAGCTTGGTATCCAGAGAGCTGCTCCTAGCAGAGGGAGGATTAATGTTATATTTAAAGAAAAGAAAAGAAAAAAAAAAATTGAGATTTTATTTCTGGTTCTGAAGTTAAGTGTAGTTACTCTAAGATATAATTGTTGATTGTTTCTTAACACCTCAGCTCGTTAACAGCTCTCCCCAGGAAAGCATGCTGTAGCAGGTTGGGATAATGCCAGAGATTTTTCCACCTCCACGTATGTGACGGGTACACAGAGTAACTTCCATCTGCCCACCCAGTCCCACTGGTGTCGGTGACAACCACGTGTGCCCACAGTCCTCGTCCCTGCAGGCAGCAGTGAGGGCTGTGCCAGCAATCAGTACTTTGAATTTCCACACTTATTCCTAAGCTGGGAAGACCTTAAAACCTCAGACTGTGTATTGACAACTTAAACAAACAGCTTTTGCTGCTGGGGGTGGACAAAGAGCGCAGCAGGTACTGCCCTGGGTTTGCTTCACTACCAACCCAGCCTGCTGGTCCTGACACGTAGAGAGAGGAGAACTGCAAACACAGGATCAATACAATTACGTGTCCCAGCTGCAGCTAATCCATCACACTCCCCTGAAATCAATTGTGGCTTTTTTTTTTCTTTAACAACAAAATAATAATA